TGCTAAGGTAAACAACTTTTAAATTTACACCTACTGTCTATTTCCTTAAGTATTTGAGTAATAAACCAAAAACTAAATTTTCCCAAATTAAATTCGTGTGACTTTCAAAAGCCTAAAAAAAAACTAAAAAATTAATGTTTAGTAATGAAGTTAACATGCATTTTATATGGGAAAAGTTAGTTTATATACTAATGGAAAAAACAGTAAGTTAGGTGCAATTTGGAAAGTTTTTCATCGTAACAATACGCTTAAAATGATACGCTATTTAACTTATAATTGCCTTATGGTTATTTGTTTATTTACAGGGCCACTACAGTACCAGCATAAAAAAATTAAATGTTGGCAAATAATTCACATTTTGGAAATCATTACATGTAACTTATCATTTATATCGTAGGCAAACATTTTTAATAGATTTCCATCCCAATGAAAACCTGAAAATCACATCCTTAAATTCAAAAGATGTTTTTACTGGTCATGAAAATGGCACGGTTTGAAACCAAAATAGTATACATAAGCCTGTCTTGTATCATTGACTTAGGGAGATATCTCGATTATAAAGAATGTACCAGTTGCCTAAAGTTATATCTTTTTGTTCTGTGCTATGTAGTGCTACAGCTTAAGAAGGTTCAGCATATGAAAGGTTATTATTATCATTAATATTAATAATCAACTAGCTGTTACCCACTGGCTTCACCCCGTTTGACTTCATAAGTATTAATAAAATTATTGATTGGCTGAAATAAACAAAACAGGATACAGTAATACAAACAAATAAGTACAGCTGAGGTATTTTTAACATTAGGTATATGGATTATGGAAAGTTCCCTTAAAAAAGGAATTAAAACCTTAAAGGGCAGTTTATGAAATAATGGATAGTTTTGTGCAAGGTTTCTTGTCATGACGAACATTTTAAGTGTATGGTTTATGGGGGTGTGACTTGTAGTTTTCTCAAAAGTTCATGGGTACTTTTGGCTTTATTATATACATTAGCTGTTAAACTGTGGCGCATACTGGGGTAGGTTTTTTAAACTAAATATAAATGCAAAGTGAGCTTAGAATAGTAATATCAAACGGATTATAACACCTCAAATATATTTATTTTTATTTTTATTAGCCAAAGACCTTGTAAAAATACGTATTACACAGAAAAGCATTAAAAACCTTTACAAAAATATTTCTGAAATGTTGTAAACATTTAGATTTAGTAGCAAAGCTGTAAAACACTAAGTAAATCTTACCATTACAATGTAAACATTTACATTTGGTATTGTTGTGCTAGAGAGTCATTCACAACGCAATAGAAGGACTTCAATAACAATTCAGTCATTGAAATTGACAAGGACACTCGATCCTTCCTGTTCTGACTGCCTAACACAAGTGCCTCACTTGCAAGTGTTATGTCACGCAATGTGGGAACGCATAATTGTAGCTAAATCCGTACTATCCATAAATCTTGGAGGCATGTCTGATCTCGTAGCTTATGTTCATGACTTATGTTCTTAGGTCACAAGTACAAATCCGGCCAATCACGAATTTAATTTTGGGATGACATAGTGTCATGAGACAGTGGTAATAGCCCTATTTTTGTCATGGGTGCAAATATAGGTCAAAACATACGCTACATATGTGCACAGATAGAAATATTGAAATATAAATTACTAAAATTTGAAGTAAGAATTTTTTATGAATGCTGAAAATAATTTGTATTGGCTGTTGGAAAATGTCGTACATGTGTTAAATGTACACGAAAATCTTTTTTCTGCAAACAAGAGATAACAAATTTTAGAATTTTAATGATTTATTTCAATCAATAGAGTGTGAAATTGAGAACCACCTAAATAGAAGTTACTGTTTGTCATTGTACGAGTGATATGGTGCCACTGCAGATTTCCCGTATTGGTATGTTTGCGGCAGTCAATAATTGAAGGGGGATTGACATATAGTCCCTGCTCTCTAACTTTTCATTTACCTCAGATGAAAATCTGTTTCTCGATTTTTGTGGTACTGACATTGAATAGTAGTTCCCTATGGGCTCATGCAGAAGTTTTTATACTAGCAAAATGGATTTAATAAAGTGTATTTTAAATTAAATTTAAAATATGTAACATGTATTAAGGATGACACTTTAAAACAAAATAAATAAACATGGCTCAAGAATAAAGACAGTGAAATCTGGATTCTAAAAAGGTAATTCTACCACTTTAAACATCACACATCCTTTAGTGTTTTGTATTCTTGCAGTTCTAAAAATATTAGACCTGGCAACTTCTAAAGAAATTCTCAAAATAGGTGATAACGTCTTCAAACAAATTAGGACGTATTGAAATAGAATATTGTAACATTTATAAAAATATGTCTAAGCTTTTGAGACAATAATACTTGCAACGTTTCAACGTCAGTTTTGATGAAGTGCTAAAATAAAAACCCTCATTTTATATCATAATTTTAAGTTTTGAATAATAAACTACAAATAGATAGTTTTTAATATTAGTAAAAAAAAATTCAAAATATAGTATAAATAGTAGTAGTTCGTAAAAATATTATTAATAAAAACAGTTTAGGCCTACTTGATTCAAAATCGATGTATACAATTTCAAGATTCATGAAGATAAATTCATCAAGACTCAGATTTTATTTACAACCATAAACCACTTGAGATACTTAATGCACCTCAATGCTCAGTTAAACAACCAAATTGGATTGTGCTGTCGGAAGGTTGGGGAAATGAGGCCATGAAAGTTTCATTAAACGTAAGGCTATATACCCCATTAAACCACACCTTTAGACAATAGACTTTGAAGTGAGAGTCAAATCTTCTTACAGTTTAGTATTGATTAAAGATTGCTACATACAATTTATTGGTTATGATATAACGTATGGTAATAATTTTGCTTGTATATACACGAAATGTAAGCTCTCTTAAAGTTAATAGAATTAATGACCAACCATAAAGAAAATATTGCTCTTAAAAACTAGTAGGTTAAGAAACTTTGCTTTACCCACATATTTTACATACCGTATTGAAAAATGAATTAACCAAAACAGTTGTACATGTCTTTATTTTAAATGTTGTCAAACGAAGTAGTTTTTAGCATAAATTGCCCTTTGGTTTGACTTTAAAAATTAAGGATTTTTGATTTGAATAAAATATTATAAATATAATAACACGATAGCTAACCAGAATTAAACTCCTTTCTTTTTTTGTTTAGCAAGTCATGTTAATATTACCTTTGACTATTAATACAACACCTTATTACATATGAGGATTGGTGCAGTATGCTTTTTCCAGTATTAATACAACGAGAAGCTAGAGAAACATATATATTCGGATCAAAATATTTACATATAATGTTATGTATAATATATGTAATGATATATGCAATACTTTTGTATATTACCATATACATAGGACTTTTGGAAGAATCTTTATGATAATGTTCGGACACATCTTATATTAACTACTTTGATTTCTAAACACGTTGAGTGTAGTATTTGGGGGAGCCATTTCTAGGTTTCTCCTTTGTAATGCAATTCATTGGATTGAAATTATTTTTTTTACGTTTTCTAATAATTTTAATAAATGAAACCCCATCTTCTAACTAAAAAAAATATTTTCTTGTGAAAGTAAAATAGGTTTCTTCGTGGATTTTTAACTGAATACATTAATCTAAAACAGTTCATAGAGAAAACGTCCTATTGCAACTTTTCGCTTAGCTTTCTTTATTTCCCCGCTTAAACAAGCGGGCAACGCCTTGTTTGAACAATTTGTACATTTACATTTTGAGTGAAATCGAAGGCTAGTCTCCTCTGACGCGGAGATTGAATACTGTGTTTAGAATACATTAGAGCCAGAGTTTGTAAAGGAAACATCACGAGCAAGCCCGGCTGAATACAAAGATTGTCGGTAAAAGAGATAAAACATTTTGTAGTCAACAGCTATTGGTAGATTCTTGAGTTATTTTATAATGCTACAAGGTTGTCTTATATACGTATCCTTCAACTAATTGTATTTTTTGGTGGAATATTTATTTATTCCTCGATAGCTAGTAAAAACTAGATGTTTTCCTACATCGTATTTCAAAGCTTCTAGAAGGAGTAAACTTGTAGTTTTGGATCTTTCAAACAGCCACTAAACCATTTATTGTTTTATAACTCCATTTACTAGCCCTGGACTCCATTTTGAGTGTTACGTTTTGACAAACATTTGTTCATTGGCAAACACTATTTTCAATTTGTAATCATTTTCTTAAACATACGGTATAATCCTGGTGACGTTGCTATTTAGGTCATTCATTGTAACTTTTTTGGCCAAAATAATCCTGAATTAAAAATACCCATTTGTTTGTTGTTTTTTTTTTTACCAAAATATTCAGTTTTTTTACAGTTTTCATTGTCATTATGCTGAAATATTACGTGTCTTCCACAATACAAATCATTCTAACGTCTTTGATTGGGATGGGACGAGTGGCGTCGTCCTGTAATCCAGCTACTAGGAGGTCACGAATTGTGGATATTTATAGGCGTGCACTGTGGATGCGATACTCCCTGGTGTGGATTAACGTCCGCACGAGTGAGTACTACCACTATCCGCAGTACTATCCTGATAATTATACCAATTCGTATATACCAAGGAAAAATTTGGTTCGGATTCCACTATAAACTGTAGGTCCCTTAGTTGCCATTAGCTGTATGGGCTATAAATTAACAGATGTGTCTAAGGAATGTCGGCCTTAGTCACTAACAAGACTACAAGATCGCGCCCTTCATCCTACACTCACCTCCATTCATACTTGGCTTAAAATACCTACTATGTATGGTCACCATTTCATTGAACAGTAACAGTATTGTTTGATTTTACTAAACAATTCAATTAACTGAAAAGAATTATGATTTTAAGAACATTATCAATTACATTTAAAAATGTATTTATATATCAAATAAATGCATTAGGTCCACCATTCCTAAACGGTTGAACTAATTGGGTTTTCATGTTTCAGGACCAGCATGGAGCGAGCCACTGTTCTCCTACTGGTGATCGTGTCTTTTACATATACAGGTATGTACAAAATATCAGTTATTATGTTGATGTTGCAAAACTGCATTTAGTATAAAAATACATGTGTTTAAGTGTATTTAATACTGAATCGTTTTATACTGAAAATGCATATTTTACTCTAGAACCTGAGGATTAAGTTTTTTTGTATTCTTTTTGTTGTATTTGAAAAGAATAGCCTATTGGCATAACATATTTTTAAATATTGAGCTGTAGCTAACCACCTGTAAATTATTTATTTGAGTTTTATTTTTAGTAAAGTATTGTGCGTCAACTTAACGTAACTAGACTTTGACATTTTTCTCCAAAATGGTGGAATTTTGACATTTAATTTCGAAAGATGATTTTAATTGGTTGATAAATTGACATCAGTGACATTTCCTTCAGTGTCTGGCATTTTTAGACCTAAACTAACCTGGGTTTTGTTTTGACTGGCGATAGTTGATGTTTCATGGATGATGTTGACTTGATGTTGAATTTTACTACAATGTTGCTTCTAGAATCACTTAGTTGGTCACCAGTGTGTTTATTAAGGTTGAACATTGATAAATGAATACCATAATGAACATTTTATAAGATTTTTTTCATTAAAAAAAATATAACATTTATGAAAGAAAAGATAAAACAAGGCGGTAAGTAATTACAAAACATATGTTTTTAGGTGGTTAGCTACAGCCACATATCTCTTATCATTTATCCCTTTACAACCTTATTAACCACAAATACTTTGAATTCACAGGCATATAAATAATTAATTAAAATATTTTGTTTATTATTTTTACTAACATTTTGAGACGGACATAGCGTGCGTTTAGTAGCCTTTCTTCGCTGGATACTAATGATAAAACAATGCAGTTATATTAATTTGAAATAACAACTTCACCAATATTTCTGAATTTTTAGTTTTTATGAGGCCTTTCACCAGCTATTCTGGCATAATCAGACCCATCACAAAACTCAAAAGTCTTTTGAGTTTTGTGATGTGTCTGATGATGCCAGCCAGCATGGCTGGCGAAAGGCCTCATAAAAATAAAAATTTCAGAAATATTGGTGAAGTTGTTATTTCAAATTAATATTATTTCCAATATTACCAGTTGTTCTTGAAAAATGCAGTTATGTCTGAATTATAAGGCAAATGCTTTAGTTCTTTATTCGGTAAATGTTCAAAGAATTTGTCAAAAACCCTTTAAAAATTATGGTATTTGAAAAGCAATCCTAGATTAGATAGTTATCTAATACTAGCTACCTTAGTGTATATTTCAACACAGTTCTAAAGAGTACAACAACATGCCTGTATGACTTGTCCCTTGCATTCCTTGGATGTTGTAGAACCAGGAGCTTCTTTCTTATCAGATCAGAGGTCAATGAACCGTGTTCCTGTCTCCTTCCGTGGTTTAGAACCGGTTACTTGTGTATTCACAACCTGTCTTATGCGGTTCATAACATGTGAAATTATTGAGTGGATATATATAATGGATTTAAAACAAATATTGTAGTTTTTCCAATGTTTTACCTTATTTGAAAATCTATGACTCAAGGCTCGAGCCCTGTCGCACAATTTTTATTTCAGCTGCAGTTTTCTAATACGGACAAAATGAGAATTTAAAAATAAGAAATAAAAAAATATTATAAAAATAAAAAATTAAAATTAATTTTCTAATTATAAAATTAAAGTGTTGTAACCTAACCTAACTAACCAAACATGCTAATAATGGAAAAATTGAATGTAGGTTTACTTATTAAAAAAATAGTTCTGTTCATAAAATAAAATTATAAATGCCTCAAATTCTATTTAAAATTTTTTTAATTATAAAATTAAACTGTCATAACCTAACCAAACTAACCAAACTTGCTGATAATGCAAAAATCTTAGATAAAAAATTATTGCCACTGATAGGTTTTGAACCTGGTACCTTTGGCTTCTCAGCCCAGCACTTTATCCATTAGACCACCGAGGCCGATGGCATCAAGCTGTATCGTTGCGGTAATGGTGTTCCCTCAGCCAATAGAATGCTCTCATTTTGACCGTATTAAAAATACTGCAGCTGAAATAAAAATTCAGCAGCGCCACCCGTTTTTCAATACTTTTGGCAAGGTATATTGGTTCGTGTTGTTATAATATATCTTAGCCGTTGGTGATTAGTAGACTATGAAGTCCCGAGCTCCTAGTGGACCTGCTCGCTACCGTTTTATTATACTGAGTATCTCCGGTGTTATAGTTCTCAACTAAAAAACAAAAGGTCACCGGTTCGATGCTGAGAAAAGTCAGCTTTTTAATAGTTTGAACCTGGACCCAGCTGTACTTGATCATTGGGCAAAATTAAACAGCTGATCTTAATCAGTAACAAACACAATGTATAACACCTCATTGTACACTCATCCTTCACTCATATTTAGAATGAAATGCGCACAAGGGCGTCCCCATCTCAAATTATTATGATTTATTAATGACATGAGAATTAATTGACTAAATAAATTATTTGTATGTCAACTATTTTATTTTTACAGCCTTAAAGTTAAACCCACATGCAAACCTGGATGTTAATCTAGTAGATTTACCCATATTAAATAGTCTTAAAATAAAAGTGAGTAAGGCTATCCATTAATAGAGCAGGGAGATCCAGGTCTCGAGGTGCTGCGTTCAAATCCCACCAATAACAAATCAATTTAATCTGATTTAATCAATTAAATCTAACTGACCGCACTACTTGAAAAGCGGCCAGTCAATTTCCAAATACTGTAAATGCATGTAATATGTTTGTTTTCAATGGAAATAAATTCATTTATTCATATTCATTTATTCATTTGATCCATTTGATCCATGTGATAATTCTACGACCCTAACACATCTGTGCTTGAACGTGGCGTTCTAGTATGGAATTGTGGGATGTTAATAAGTGTTAAAAGGAGATTAACTGATAATCGCTATTGATTGCCTACATAAGTATTAAGTAAAAAACTTAGATCAGTTGTTACTCAGCACGATATGAAAACGAGAACCAATCTGTGGGAATTTATAGCCTGGAAATTGGCGGGATTGAAGTTTAAACCAAATGATCCGCCAATCGAAGGGATTACCACCGCAACGCCCTGAATTGAAGAGGAGAAAGGGAGAGAGAAATTATACACTTCCAAACTCGGGCCACCTTGGCCACATCATACGAGTTTGGAATATAAATCATGTTTTTATTATTCTTTTTTTTTAACCTTCACGTGCAATCTCATGGAATAATATGCAATAGGTATGCTATTGGCGACATACATGTATACTAACTTCACTTGACTAGTTACTTGTACAACCAATCAAAGGATTGCTATAAATATACGTTGGTAACAATTCAATAAGCCAAAATACATATTAACTGACGCTGATTAAATACGTGATCGTACTTTGGAGGTTGAATTATTTACATTAAAACCTAAGTCTCGTAGTATATTTTATTGTTATAATATTTTTCACTTTCTAAACACCACTATAAAACCAAAGTTAGAGCTAATTATAACATGATGACCTGCTTAAATAATTGAAACAAACTATGCAGACTAAAACTTGGTTTATTTTATTATATGCACCACTGTATTCTTAAGTTTAGAGCTACCGTAAATATGACAAAATACCTAATAAAGCAAATATGTCAAGCATACTGTGTACAAAGATACAAATACATATGAAATTCACACACATTTAAACTTCAAAGATAAATATATGACCCTTTAATCTCAACCCCGTATGGTAATATCAAACATGACTGGAGTGTGTTCTTAATGGCTCACTTTAGAAGTCAGTATTAGAGTTGGGGTAAATCACCCTCTTGACCTTAAATACAGCCATTTAGGTACTCTAACGTTTGTACAAGCAAACGTTACAAACCATGTCGTTATTAATGTTTTAATAAATCCTATCACTGAAACTGAACAAACATTAAATAACTGTTGTAGTGCTTAGCAATAAAACCTCATTTTAGAGTATTTAACTGATGTGTAATTTACAGACTACAATTAAAAGAAATAAAATAAAGAGAACTTTTACATATTTTTCACGATTTTACTTTTACATGCAGTAGTATTTGCCTCCAAAAACATCTAATTCGTTTTTGACGTGAGTGTAAAAAAGTTGATAATTTAGTAAAACATAGATTAAAATTGAAATATGTACTTATTTGATAGTAAAACACTCATGTTTATACGTATCTTAAATTGTGACAAAAAAAATACTAAATAGAGTTTTCTTAGTTAAATGAAAAATTTACAGTTCATATAAAATTAGTTTGAGACGAATATTTCAATAAAGTACAATTTCCCTTTACGAGAAACTAATTGAGCAACAGGCTAATCAGTGATAAATGTACTTTCCCTGTGAAAGTAGCTAATTTATTTACGCAAACTATTTATTTAGCATGGTTCCTAAAGTGAAGAAATAGTTCGTTTATAATCTAATAGACTAGGACTGGGAAGAAGAGTTGTATACAAGCGTTTCAACCCTTAATCCTCTAATTCATTCTCCCTTGCCTACTTTTGCATTCCTCTCTCTTGACATCGGGCTTACCTTTAATCCCTTTCAAGAGTCTCCAAAATCTCCCTTTTACGTTAGATCTCTTGTATGTAACATTTCTACAAACGACTTTCTTACTAACATAATACACAGATAACAGTTTATTACATCATACCCAGTAAACGGTTATTAAGGAGATTTTTAATTTCTCAAAAAACATTATTAGCGTTAATAGTTATCGAGAATTCTTATTAGCTTAGTAAGATACAACAGACAATTTATTTATTAATAGACAGTGACAGTTTAAATAATTGGTCTTTATTTGTTTTGGTATATGATTTACATATCGATCTTGAATAATCCAACATTACTGGATGATACTAACATATGTAGTAACATGTAGTATAACTTTATCATCAATAATAAACCACTGTTTTTATCAACATCGATTACTCAGTTACATATAGTAAGAGTGTACTAAAAACAATTTAATTAATTTCCAAAAAGAATG